GGCGGGCTGCGCTCCGGCATCCGCATTGCCCAAGGGGCCTACTTCCGGGTCACCCTCCTCAAGGCCACACCCGTGCAGGTGGACGGGGAGCCCTGGGTCCAGGCTCCCGGCCACATGATCATCTCAGCCGTGGGCCCGAAGGTGAGTCGTGGGGTGCACCCGGTGGGCTGGCAGGCGCGGCGAGATGGGCCCTCAAGAGCACCTGCCTCTCCTCTGTGGAAACGAGCCCCCAGGCCTCTGGAGGAGGCGTGTCCACTGGGCCGTGGTGAGGTGGAGCCCCTGCCCCACAGGCCACAGCCACGTGCCCCCACTCCTTGCCCTTCTGTGACACGGGCTGAGATGGCACCAGGGCTTCTGGAGGCCTGCAGCGTCCTGCCCTCTGACCCCCCTGCCCCGGGACAGGTCCACATGCTCAGGAAGGCCAAGCAGAAGCCCAAGAAGGCCGGGACCCCCAAGGATGCCCGAGCGGACGAGGTGCCTACCCCCGAGGGGGGCCTCAAGTAGGAGGCCCTGAGCAGCCTGTGTCTGTTCAGTGGCGGGCCGTGGATGGACGTCTGCAGCCCTGACCTCGGGGCTCCTCCCACACCCCTGCCTCCCAACCAGTGACGGGTGGGCGGGGGCTCCTCTGTCCCCTGGGTGGCCCAGATGCTCCTGGAGTCGCCAGCTCCGAGGGTCCCGGTGTGCCCAGCAGAGATGGGGGTACCTGCCCGCCACCAGCGCCAGGCCTGACCTCGTCACCCGAGCCTGGCTGTGGCCGGGAGTGGCAACGGGACTGCACAGGAAGGCCTGGAGGCCATGGGCTCGGCCACCTGAGGATGGCGCGCAGGGCCTGGAGGCATTGGGAAGGTGGGCAGCAGTGCCTGATGGGACCAGAGCTGAGCAGACCTGTGTCCCAGGCCCAGAGAACGTGGAGACGCGGGACATGTGGGGGAACCAGCTTTAATCACCAGGGACCACTCGCACTTTGTGTTGTTTGCCAACAATGAACGTGGCCCTCCCGGCGCGGACGGGCCCTGCAGTCCCTGCTCCTCACGGGGAGGCCCAGCAGGGGGCGTGGCTGCTGGGCCGTGGGTCACCCGGAGGAACCTGACCAAACAGCCTGCCCGGGAAGCCCCGAGGCCCCAGGGGGACCACAGACCACGCCCCCCCCCCCCCC